TAGTTGTTATCAACGTTAACTTAATGTTTTGTTATCTTGTTATGAATGAGAATATTTTAGCTCATACTAAACGTTTTCATGTTGTTTAAATAAGTGTATGGGTAGCTCATATTACATATTATGTCATTAACTCAATGTCTTGTTGTTCAAGAAAGTCAATGATAACTCATATTAAACGTTTTTGTTTATGTTTGGTTTGCAGGGAGAAGCAGATGGGTGTTACACCCGATGTCCCGCGGGCTGACCCGCGAAGGCTTGGAAAGATTGGCGGTACGGGATTGGGTAGCTATTTTTAAGACCGCATCCCGCGTGGGACAGGCCCGCTGTGACCCGTAGAATGACGAACCCGCAGCAGTATGGGACGGGCCAGGACGGGAGAGCCCAATTGCCATCTCTATACACGAGCAATCCGACTTCTCAGTCATAGTAAGTTCCTCTCCATTTTCTCTTAAGGTACTCTCTAGTTCCTAGTTAGGTGATTAGATTAGGTGGTTAGTTTAGGAAATTTAGATTAGGTGGTTAGTTTAGGGAATTTAGATTAGGTGGTTCGATTAGTAATTTTAAATTACGTTTGTTTAACTGTTTTTTGTTTTCAGTTTTTTTTTTAAATTTAGATGGTTCGAAAGAGAAAAGTTGCTGCTGCTCAGTCCAGGAGGCCTGTAGATCAGGGGATTCATTATGCGGATCTATTCGGGCCCGGTTCGTCTTCGTCAGCTCCCGGTGGTTCACCTTCAGGAGTTCCCGAGACCCAGGGAGGTTTTATGGCATCCCAGTCTCAGCAGCCACCTCCTCAGCCTCCTCCTCCTCCTCCTCCTCCACCGGTCGGGATTCATCCTGACTTGCAGGTGCCTCCGAACGCACCATTTTCGGTGTACACGGTGGATGATATCTTGGCCCTTCCAGGCAGAGAAGGGCTACCAAAGTTAGATCCTCTCCGACGGGACGGCCAAAACGTATTATGGTATGTTTTAATTTTAAAATTTTTTTATTAAATAATTTTTAAAAAGTGTTATGGTATGTATATATATGTTCTAATTAATGATTTATTTTCTGTCTTTCCAGGTTTGGTCTTGACAATGCTGTCGGATCTAGCGTCACGGACTGTATCAAGGGATACTTT